GGAAGAACCACCAGAACTGGAAGGTGCAAAGTCCCCGGTGGCTGAATATTTCATATCACCCTATTTACACAGAGTTACCGGGCACTGTGTGAGGAGGATTATGCAGAACAGCTAGCGGCCTTTGTGACTCATTGCGCAGAACACAAAAACCTGTCTAAAATTAGACTCCGGACTTGAATAAGGCTTCTCAAGATGGAGAGACAAACCCGATAATCACACCTGAGGCTTTCAGGCCACGTCTGTTTCTGCCTCTGCTTTAAGAACGGGCTCCTACGAAAGCCGCCACCAAATGCAGCACACATGTGGCCCAGCAGCCCTCCGCCGAGGGGACACAGACCAGCTGGTCCACGGAGCAGCTGGTACTACATGCCTAGCTGTGAGACACAGCCTTGATTCGAACGGGGATCACTCGACACGAACCCCTTCTGTGTTTGTTTTGTGGGGGACACACCGAGCGATCCCTTCGGCAACACAGATCCAGTTCCGGTGAGAACAGTGTTCTCGCTCCCTGTAATTTATTTACTCACAAGCGGCAAGGGCTCTGCCCTCCCCATCACAAGTGCCTGATCGAATCTCGAAGAAATGAGCCAAGATGTATCCGCTGAGTTATGACCCCACCATAGCTACTCTGCACGCTGCTGGTTATATTTATTTATTTAGGGTGAAGGACACGTGCCTCACGTTAGAGGGCAACTCCCAGGAGCGACCACGTGGGGCCTGAGAATCAAACTCGGGTCGTCAGGCTTGGCGGCAAGCACCTTTATCCGCCGAGCCTCACTGTCCCGTATTCTTATTTCTAGCCTCTCTCCTGTTCCTTGGTTTGCCTCCTTGCTGTCTGTGCGTGGTAGTCAACTGCTCGTCAGCATTTCTTCCTTTGGCTTTTCTGTTTCACTGTGAGTTGGTTTTTTAAGGTCTCACTGTATTCTAGCTGGCCTGGAATCTGTTGTGTAGACCATGTTGGCCTCAAACCCGTGACCATCCTCCTGCCTCTGTCTCCTAGGTCATTGGGATTACAAGCTTGGTCCAGTGTGCTCAGCTTCTCAAGGCTAATGACCACATTAAGGCGACAGGTTAACTTGAGAAGAATTACTGGATTTGACTATCTGTAATGACCATAGTAAAAAAGGCCTTTTAGACATGTAAAAATAGGATCTCCACTACACCCAACACTGCACCCGATAACCAGAACCTAGTGGCATCACTTATTCAAGACCACCAGGCATATGACTAGACCTCATGACGCCCACTGGTCAGTCTACAGTCAGAGACCCAGAACAATGCTCTGCTCTGCATATCTGGAGACGCCATCTTGACCTGCCCTGCGGCTGGTGAGTCTCCCCCAGGATCCTGACCCTTAAACTGGAGACTACCATGAGAGACCGGACCTGACCTTCAGCTAAGATACATCACAGGTGAGCAGCAGTGGGGAGATTGGCTTAGGACTGCCGTTAGGCACTTAGAGTGTGACTTTGTGTGATGACCCTCAGCCTGATAAAATACACCTTTTGTTATGTCGACCATAAAATGTAACTGTAGTTATACCAACCGCACGCCTCTACCTTCTTGCTCTCGACACTATCTACACACAAGCAGGCTGTTCCTCGAGTTCGTACCCCTGAATAAAGTTTTACAGCTGTCTTCACAGGGCACAGTCCCTTTCTTCTCAGACACATCCCTGGATATTTCACAGTTGCTCTGGAAACAGGATCTTTTTTTTTTTCTATTACATTTTTAAGTTATTTCTGATAGGAATACTAATCATTTTATGCTTTTCTTGTATCACATTTCTAAAGGTGAGGTGAGACCTCACAACTTCAGCGGCTTTCTAACTTTCTGCAACTAGAAACTTGTAGTGAAAGGACAGTCTTATCTAAAGAAATCTGGAACCTAATGTTATATGGGGACAGACAGACAGAGACACACACACGTACACACACACACTTTCTCTCTCTCTCTCTCTCTCTCTCTCTCTCTCTCTCTCTCTCTCTCTCTCTCTCTCTCTCTCTCTCTCTCTCTCTCTCCCTTATCCCCTCCCTCCCTTTCTCTCTCTTCCCCTAACCCCTCTCTCTTCCCCCCTCCCCTTCCCCTTCCTCCATCTCTATCCATCTCAGTCCTTCCATGCCTCAAGCAAGTAAAGTAAACCCGTCTCATCCAAGAGATTTCACACGGATTCCTCAGCAAGGCCCGGGCCTCCCTTCTTGCACTCTCCAGACACTGGCACTTGGAAGAGCAATGACACTTGTCCTAATCCGCTTCATAGGATGGACTTCTCTGCCCCTTGCTGTGCAGAATATCCCTTTACACTGTGTGAAGATAACTCACTGTGATTGGTTTAATAAAAAGCTGAATGGTCAATAGCCAGGCAGGATTTTTGAGGCAGAGAGAACTCTGGGAAGAAGGCAGAGTCGCCAGAAGAAGCCAGACAGACACGGACCAAGCTGGATACACAAAATGGGATAGAGGTAAAAACCATGTGGTAGAGAGTAAATCAATAAAAATATGGGCTAATTTAAGTTGTTAGAGCTAGCGAGGAACAAGCCTAAGCCCCTGGCTGAGCTTTCATAATTAATGAGTCTCCGTGTCGTTTTTTTTTGTGGCTGGAGGCCCAAAGAAAAATCCATTTGCAGATTGCTGCCCCACACCGGAGGATCCTCACCTCCTGAGTGAGGAGCACAGGCCTACAGCTGGCTCTTTTCTCTTATGGCCACTTTCAAAGAGAAAGTTCTTTGTCTGAGTTGTACCAGGTCAGCTTGCTTCAGTGGGTTCAATAAATGCTTCTTCCCAATGGCTAAAAATAGGAATATTATAAACAGGTAGTCTATCTTTAAAATGCTACATTGCTTTTTTCTTCTCCTATAAACATTTAAAATTATATCAAAATATTTAAACTATAAATTTCAACAAAATACTGCTCAAGTCACATCATAAATAACTTTGAAAAAATCATTAAGCTCCTAATGATTAAGCTCTTAACAAACTGTTCTCTGGTCTGTGGGCCTGTGTAATCGTTTGTGCTAATAGAATATAAGCAGGCATGAGCTCTCTCTGATCTGGATCATTACTCCCCACCCCCAACCAAATCAGAAGGTTCCAGAGACCCTGTAGGAGGAGGTGCCAGAAGAAAAGCGCCTCCTTCCCTAACAGCCTGTGGAGCAGAGGCCACCTCCTCAGTGCACTGGAATGTGAGAACAAACCTTTACCTTAATCCGCTGTGGTGACACAGTTGTTTTGACCATACACTATGTGTAGCCAGCAGAGAAAGATTTTGTGTAAGGGGTTGGTGAGCAGGAAGGGTTTGGAGTAGCAGGTGAGGGAGAATAAAAACAATAGCTAAGACCAAACTGAAGGAGGAGGCTGCCAGGGTCCCACCGATGTGGAGTAGTGCCAACCTGCTTGTTCATGCTAAAGTACTGGTGTTTAAAAAAAAATCAAGAAACTATATATGGAGTGAATATAAACATATGTCAGAGAAACCCAGAGCAGGTGTGAGCAGAGTAAGACGGGAGGACCCAGGCAGGGTTCCCAATGCTTCACACCCCTGGGTCCTGCAGACAGAACCTGGGTCCTGCATTACCTCCGGGTGAAAAGTCCCTGTGTGACATGGTTAGCTTTCAGTGGCTATTCTTAGCAGGGGTCTGCTTCCTAGAGATGCTGATAGTTTCACAGCTAGTTCCCAACTTCATCCTATCAGGATGACTGACATGTGACCTGGGCCACTTCCTCCTTCGCACAGTGAGCCAATTAGGTACTGATTCCGCCCAGCAACTTTTCTTTAAGAACATCTGCTGTTTAAAGATGGGTAGCTGGGGAGTTGAGGATTTAGCTCAGTGGTAGAGCGCTTGCCTAGCAAGTGCAAGGCCCTGGGTTCGGTCCTCAACTCGAGGAAAAAAAAAAAAAAAAAAAAAAAAAAGATGGGTAGCTGGTCTGTTCTCTACCCTTGGATTTCAGGTGTGGATTTCAATTCCACTTGACTCAGTTCTAAATCTGATCCAGTATCTATCATCTATCTATTATCTATCTATCAATTATCTATCTTTCTTTCTTTTTTAAGTATATGTCATCTGTTTTGGCTTGGTTTTGTTCGTTATTTTGGGACGCAACTTGCTTTCATCCAAGCCTATTTTTAAAATCTATATAATAAAATCCACTTTACTCTCATTAAGGAAGAAAAAGATACTTTATCCTCTAAAATTCTCCTTTTACAGGTGATTCTTCTCAAATAATTTGGCCAATTTCTATTGTTAATTTTTTCTCCAGAGATATGATTATTTTTTCTAACTTGCTTATCTTTAAATTGGATGTTTTATTCATTTTGATATCACCCAGAGGCAAAAGACTAAAAAAAAAAAACACGCCCCTCTGGGACAATGGAGAAAGCTGAGAGGCAGTGATGTAAAGTGTGAAGTCTTCTGCTGCGCCCCACCCCCCCACCCCCGCCTCAGGGGCCCCACATGGCAGGACATGTTTCTTTAGAAAGACAGGAGTTGGTTAGCTCAGGGGCTGGTACTGCACTCATCTCCTAACACTCCTTCTGTCTCTTTACAGGACAAGGAGACCTGTCGGTGCCCAGGAGGAATAAAATCCCCTCTGGAGAGACAAAAGCCAGAAGTGATTTCCACTACTCTGTGCTGGGAGAAAGGAAGGGAGGGAGGGAGGGAAGGAGGGAGGGAGGGAGGGGGGGAGGGAGGGGGAAGAAGGCTAAGTAGCAAGAAAAAAGCTTGGAGGGGGCTGACTTTCAACACTTACAAATGCTTGCAGAAATTCCTATTAGAATTAGAAACTACTTTGAATACCAAAAATGCCACGTTAAAAGCCCAACTGCTCTATGTTTAGCAAGTTTATACAAGGCAATTTGGAAGCACAGGTATCTCTGTGACATCTAGGGGATGACACGTGTCCATAGCTCTCCACCACAAGTGCTAAATGAAACTACAGGCTGTACTTTTAACCGCTATGTTAGAATAGATAAAAGAGGTCACTGAATCAAATTTTAATCTTACCCTGAAAAATCAGCGGAATATTGTCCATAATCAAAGATATAGACTCTAGTAATCTGACACACTGTGAGGTATCCCAAAGCAAACAGAAAACAACATCTGCAAAACAAGAATAAGCCGGGTTAGTGGAGGTGTTCATTCTGTCAAAGGGCACATTGTAAAGAAACTCACTAACTCGTAGGGTTCAACAATGAGATGGTATTAAATCTACCCTACAAATAACTCATCTAACAGATTAGGGGAGCTCTCTCCTAATAGGTGGTGAATCGTCGATGGAACTGACCACGGCTGCTGTTCAATTGTATTCTGAACGACGGCCACGTGTAAAATTACATGGGACGGCCCTGAGCAGAAGCATTAGAAGACACCAATACTGGTGACAGATGACTTTTTCCACTGATCAGTTCCTGCTTCCATAGACATGACACAATTCTTACAGATTCCCCCCCTCTTCATCTGCGTGTGCATGCTTCTGCATGTGCGTGGACACTATCGTGTGTTCTGGGAATCATCTTTGATCATCCTCACTTTATTCACTGAAGTACAGTCCCTCAATCAAATCAATCCAGACTTCAGCAGGACGGCTTGGTCTGGGGACCCCTGCCTTCTGAGATTGATGCTGCAGGCAAGCGACCACCACACACACACACACACACACACATATATATATATATGGGTTCTGGAGAGTCTGACCTCTGGCCACATGCTTTCCGGTAACTTGATTTTTTAAAATGTGCCCTCAGTAGCCTAAAATCATAACCTTCAGAGAGGATCAGGGGATGCTCACCCGTAACCAGCTAGTGACTTTCACAAACTCAAGGTGCTTAAGATGGTATTACAACCAAATGCAGTATGGAAAATGAGTTTACGTATCAGTGGAAAAAGAACAGAAGAAACCCCAAAACATATCCTAGAGAATGTCACATCACACAGGACAAAGGCTGCAGTTCAAATTCTCGGGGAACAGATGTATTACTAGCCAACAAGGCAAGTGGGGGAGAGGAAGCTAGGCCTTCCTCATGTGAAAACCATTCTAGATGGATTAAACAGTCAAAGATGAAACCGTAACAAGTGGGAATTATAGCTCTCAAACTGGAGGGTTTTCTAAACACTCATACAGAAGCAATCCAAGGAAAAAAACTATCTATTTGGCTAAACTAAATCTTAAGCTTCTCACGTATGTGATTCAGGGGGTTTTATGAATGAGTTCTTTAAAGCTATAAAAAAAGAAAACCTGGGGAAAAGAAGAAAAAAACTGGGTGAGTGATGCACACCTTTAATGCCAGCACTCAGATGCAGAGGCGGGAGGGTCTCTGTGAGTTCAAGTCCAGGCTGGTCTACATAGCAAGTTCTGGGACAGCCAGGGTTAAATAGAGAGACCTTGTCTGGAAGGAAGGAAGGAAGGAAGGAAGGAAGGAAGGAAGGAAGGAAGGAAGGAAGGAAGGAAGGAAGGAAGGAAGGAAGGAAAGTATGCTAAAGCCAGCATTTATTTAATATGTGATATTTCACTCAATGCTAGTTTATTTCATAAATTCAAGTAGGAATCTATATAGAAGGTCTAGCAGTATTAATCATCACAATGCTGAGTCAAAAAGATACCTGGGCATTTGCTAAAACTTAAGCCAGGCCTGGTGGCAGTACTTGGCTGAAACATGAAGACTTCAACTTTATAGGCCTACCTCATACTACAGAGTAAACTCAATGCCAGCCTGGGCAATTTGATAAGACCTTATTGCAAAATAAAAAGTAAAAAGAGTGTCAGGGACACACACAGCTCAGTGGTAGAGCACTTGCCGATTGGCATGCATGAGGTCCTGGGCCCAGTATGCCTCAGTACAGGAGGAAAAAGTAATTCAATAAAGCAAAAAAAAAAAAAAAAAAGACTCAATAATAGTAAATTCCAGTCTTGTTCAATTAATTTCTAAGTTTAGCATTGTGATCTCAATCATAATCCTAACAATGGCTTTGGTGGAAGCTAACCGGCTGATCTTCAAGGCTTCTAGCTAACTAAATAAACATGGGACAGGCGGCCCTGCCCCACCCTAATACATAAAAGAATAGGCCATGAAGATTTAAAACGTAGCATTGTTCCAAAAATAGATCAAAAGACTACCCAGACAAGAGAGAGTTTAGAAAGACTTACTGTACAGCTGGAAAGTTCGTACAGGATAACCCTGGCATATTAAACCAGTGGAGAGATGAGGGAGGCTAAGTGAGCTGAAGCAATAGCCCTCTCCTGAGATGGCCCCCAGCGCACACGAGACACAGGGAACACCATCAGTCAAAATATGAAAAGGTGTAAGTGTGAAAAACTAATGTGCAGCGTCATACCGTAAGAAGACAGAGAACATCTGGACTGGAGACAATCTCATCAGCACAAATCTCACAAACGCCTCGGAGATGTTCCCACACACACATCAGACAGTTCAGCACAATAAACTATGAAGTATTACGTGATAATGGAACAGAAATCGCTTAGTATATATACTAGGTTTAATGTCCCTAACAGAACTTCCAGGCAATAAGAAACAGATGAAGAATTGAAGTGGAAAATAGGTAAGAATGTTAATGAGCAACTGATATAAGAAAAATGTAACCACCACCTCATTCAGAAAAATAAATGAGATTCAGTCAAGCAGTTGTCGGAGATAACTTGGAAACTCACAGGAAGATGGAGACAGTGTGTGTTCAACACAGACCAGCCGAGTTTCCAAGTGGATAATGCTTGGGTGGGGCAGAGGACTCAGCCCTCCCACTTTCACTTTTTAGCATCTGTTTGTCTAGTTATCAGTCTGTCTCTCGTCTGTCCATTGCAGGGGGGGTGGTCGTGCATGCCACTGTGGACAGTATAGGATGTGTCCCCACTCCCAGTTTCTTCCTTTGTAACCAAATCCAGGGCTTTCCTGTGTGCCGGCTGAGCATTCGGCCAACTGAGCGACACCACAGCCTAAGAAACGGATTTTTTGGTTTTTTTTTTTTTTTTTTTTTTTGGTTTTTCGAGACAGGGTTTCTCTGTGTAGCTTTGCGCCTTTTCCTGGAACTCACTTGGTAGCCCAGGCTGGCCTCGAACTCACAGAGATCCGCCTGGCTCTGCCTCCCGAGTGCTGGGATTAAAGGCGTGCGCCACCACCGCCCGGCTAAGAAACGGATTTTTTAAAGACTGTTAAGCATGTAATTTTGCAGCACAGGTTACCATATATCAAGTATGTGTTATTATATTAAGAATATAAAGAATATACGTTACATATTCTTTGAACTGACAATTCCACCTTCTTATTTCACCTAATACATTAAGGACAACGTTGTGGGATATCTACTGCAAAGGTCTACAGGATAATGGTGGAAATACTACACAGTGATACAACACTGTGCAATTCCACCCAACTCCACATGCAGAGACTTCAATTCCTACCTTACCAGGGTGGAATTATCTCTGTCACATCTTACTTCTCAATTTGTGTGAAACAAATAATCATTTATGTCACACAAATAATCAAGTCATTAAAACCAAGATTATTGCCGGGCGGTGGTGGCACACGCCTTTAATCCCAGCACTCGGGAGGCAGAACCAGGCAGATCTCTGTGAGTTCGAGGCCAGCCTGGTCTACAGAGCGAGATCTAGGACAGATACCAAAACTACACAGAGAAACCCTGTCTCAAAAAAACAAAAACAACAACAACAACAAACAAAGAAAACCCCAGAAAACAAGATTATCAACTCTAGCCCCTAGAAAAGAACCTCATCCAATGTCTGGTTTTGTAAACGTATTTTTATTTGGCCATGCCACGCCCTGCTCATTTGTGTTTACAATGGCTGCTCTTGTCTCACAGTAGCCTTATAAGCCTAAAATAATCACTGTCTTATCCTGTTAAAGAGAACGTTTGCTGACCCTAATTAAGGGTTCAATTGTGGGTGAAGATAGTAATAATTCACATTAAGTTTTAATGAGAAGTATCAGGATGTCAGCCACGGTGAGGAGTGACATCACCACCACTACTTCATTAGCATATATGTCAATCAACACTCACTTAGACCGACATTAGTTCATCAGTAACGTGAGCAGCTACACTACTGAACTGGCTAGTAATTAAGCACCTATCTGTAGGCAGCACAGTCGCTCTGAAACCATGGGTTAGCTATAAAACCTTCGGCACTGGTCAGTGACAGCATTCCCTGGGAACTGTGTGGGCAGAATTGTAAGAGAACGTGCTGGACATTCACTATTCGTATACTATGTACTACAGATCCACTCCAGTCACACATCTAAGAAGAAGCACAGATGCCACTGTCTATCGGATTAATTCCAGCCCCCGACCCAGACACCAAAATCCACAGGTGGCCGGGTCCCGTATGTAAAATGGCACAGTGGTTACACAGGAGGCACCCCCCCCCCCCATGAACTTGAACCCTCCCTGTCACAGGTTCCTGTCAGGAGCTAACACGAGGTAAACACTACACAAACGGCTATGCTTAGGGAATAATCAGTCTGTGCATGTTCAACACAGACGGCACGTTTTCCCACAGCTTTCTGGCCACGGTGTTGAATCCACAGACGTGGGAGCCACGGAGGGAAGGCTGACTGCCTGGTACACACACATCCACTTTTCCAGAGAGCTAGGTAGTGGTGACACACGGTCTGGCGCTCTCTGATGACTCACGTGCAGTCGCTGGGCTCTGGGAAGTGGCTAGTCTAAGCTGACTCTGCCCTGACAATAAACATGCCCAGATTCCAAATCTGGAAATACAGAACTTGAGTAACTTCTTACCCTGATTTATTGATTATACTTTTCCATGTTATCGCTGGGTATATCAGGGAGGTGAAGAAATGCATTCCTAAGGTTAGTTATGTTTTAGTTTTCAAACTGACGACTAGAAAGTTTAAAAGTACATCCACAGGTTTCTTTATACCAGTGTACCGTTTTATGCCTTCCTAGATAAAAGAGGGGGTGGTGCTGGGCAGGCAGCGTGGCTTTTCTTTGTCCCTGCATATGGGTCTGGTGACAGCTATGGGGATTGCCTTGCATGTTTGGGGTGGGGCAGGGGGGACACACAAGCTCCATTTTTCCTTTTGAGGTCGATTGCCAGGGAAGAGTGCCGG